CCACCCACCCACCCACCACCACCACCACCAGCACCAGCACCACTGCCACTACCCACACCCCGCACCCCGACGACTCCCACCACCACCGCCCACCACAAAACGAAGACGAAGACGAAAAGGGCCACAATAATGCTGCTACTGCTGGTCGTGGTTGTGCAGAAATCATAGTCATGAGCATCAGCATCATCGTCTTTATCACAACACCACCAGCAAGAAGAGTGCGTGGGCAGCAGCGTCATGCCTATCATCGTCAGCCCGGTAGATCGTCATAGAACATGTCTACGAGGTTGTACAACCGATTGCAGCCGGCAGTCAAGACGCAGCTTTGAATTCCCTCGTCCCCCTATGACATCCCTCAGCGGCCAGCGGCCAGGAGAGTATGACGTGGTCCTCCAAATTTCGCCGATTTCAGGCTGCGGGCATGTGTCACCTCACTCTCCTGACATTCTCGACCGACAGCAAGCCCGAATCCCTGCACGCGTACCCTGCCATCCAGGGGTTGGAGTTCGATCCTAACCCCTAAACCTCGAAACCCTAAACCCCTAAACCCTAATTAAACCGTAAACCAGGGTTTCTGGAAGGCTTCTCGTCGGACTTTGCCAGCCCACCTTCGGGGCCCTTGGGGGCACTGGCTCACGTGGTTCCAAGACCTGGCGCCAAAGGCACGGGCGGGCACTAGCTTTGGTTCTTGTGTTTTTGTTTTCGGTTTGGGGTTTAGGGTTTGGGGCTGCATAGGGTCATAGAAGTGACATACGGGCCACCACCCCACAGACCAACTCTGCACACAACCCAAAACCCCCAAAACCCTACACCCCTAAACTCCTCACCCTAAACACAGGCTTGACGTACATCGTGGTCGGCGGTGAGGGCGCGACAAATTTTCCCCGGGATGAGCTCCACATAGGATTCAAGAAGTACATGACAGAGATCCTTGGAAGCAGTTCATTATAATGGTATGTTGATTTATTCTGTTCTGTTATCGTTTATTATGGGTGAGTACAGTTCATCGTTCACAGCGCATTGCTCCTCTCATGGTTTGCAGACCAGCGCTCCAAGCTCAAACACGAAAGCGGCTATCACCAACTGCAGCAATGATTCAATAGCGGTGTTGCAAAACTTACCAAAAAAGGAACGATACCAGCCAAAAGGAGAGCACACGGTGAGGATTGAAGTGGCATCCGGAACCACTTGGCTTAGGGTACCGATCATGGCGTATTCGTAACATTTATCATTTTTACAACATGCCGTAACATAGCATGTCATAACAGAACATAAGTATACTATACCATACCCATACTATACTGTAATGCCATTATCGAACCCTTGTAGAGGACCGAAGATAGGCTTTGGAGTGGGGACTGCTTCAGCGCCGCGAGCATTTCAAACCTAATCCTTCCAAAACTGTGTAAGCCCTAATCCAACAATCCCAGGCCGTAGGTCATCGTACATCCCGAAACTGGCCCAAACACTGGTTTCTCAGAGCTACGTCTTACGAAAGATACCCGAACATACCCCAAAACCCTATTCTAACTTGGAATTCTAATTAAGGACGCTACACTACTGCCAAAGCCTTCGTTGCTTTGCCTGTGAAGGAAAGGTTTTTCGGCCGTGCACGTTGAGAAGGCCAATTACCTGAACTGGGAAGCTCGGCTCAAATGACCTACTTTGCAGGGGTTCCCTTAAGGGATCTTTAAAGGTTCCTTTAAGGGATCTATACAGGTTCCTTTAAGCTTTAAAGGGATCTATACAGGTTCCTCTAAGGGATCTATAAAGGCTCCTTTTTGGGCTATAGAAGGGCTCTACTTGGAGGTTCATGGATAGTTATAAGTGGGGTTATAAGTCCCTTAGTATGGGTTATAACCAGAGTTACTCGAACAGTTACCCTACTTCTAACTCCAATTGTCACTACCCATGAATCTCCAAGTAGGGTTCAGAGTTTGAGGTTCAGGGATGTTCGGGGGTTGAAGGAGAAGGAGCTTCTATTGCTGCGGTGCTTCAGGATTCTGTATGGTTTACCCACAAGTCCGAACACTTTGCAAGCGTTCCTAGATGTTAGTGCGCTGATAGGCTGCTTGCTGGGGTGATCGTGTTTGTTCCTGCATCGATGACACGGTGCTGACCCACCGTGGGCTGCATGCCCTGCGAACACCAAGTCAGAGATGTATGTCGTCAGAGTCAACAGATCCACTGGTAAATGCTCAGGAGAAAGCAATGTTCGAGACATTCCCGCCGAAGCTGACAGAGCTCGTGCTGGATGATGAGTGGAACAAGGCCAGTGGGGTGCACCTAGACTCCCCAACCCTTGTTATGGTCACTTTGTGTTCATCCGCGGAACCCTAAATAAACCCTGCTCCTATATCCTCGAGCTAGCGGCTTGACTTGTGGCAGTCTTTTCACGGGTATGCATCGTTGATAGTCTGCAGGCTCGTCCTGCAAGGTCGTGCAAAATCGCCAATTTCCCGTCTAAAGTGGATGCCCAATGAAGCTGAAGGAATCCCTTTAGCAGTGCCGTTTGCGCGTTCCTCATCTCAAGTGTGACGGCTGCAAACAGCAGCTCAAAACCAACGAGCCACTTTGCCAGGCAGTTGGCCGAATACCTCCCATGGTTGCAGCTGGTCCTGAACTGGCTCGATTGGTCACTGTTGCTTTGATTCAGGGCCCACATTCTAGTATAGTATGTACTTTTGGGGCCCAAATGGCTACTAAGTAGGCACTTGGACCCTTTGGGCTTGATTCAGGGTGGTTGGTCTTGTCGCTGCTCTGGCCCCCTTGTCTCTGGGGCCATTCACCCAATGAACCCAGTCAAGGCGAATCTCTTCGTGCGCTTCCGTGTGAACACCCTGGTGAACTACGTAGCTGGGCTCATGTTAAGGAGTTTAATTGAAGTTACCAGAATCGGGATCTAGAGTAAGTAATGTGGTTTCTTCTTTATGGTTTTTAATATTAATATTTAATTGAAGTTACCATAATAATTAGGGATCTATAGTAAGTAATATGGTTTCTTTACTGTGGGTAACTTAAATTAAGCCCCTTAGAACAAGAACCCAGGAAGTTGTTGATCGCGCCTTCGCAGCCTTTGAAGAGGATCTGCGAGGAACGCCAGACTATGCCTCTTGGAGTACGTACCATGTAAACAGCTTTAGGGTTCTGGGTTTGGGGTTTATTTTCGGGTTTGGGGTTTAGGGTTTAGGGTTCTTAAACCTTTAGGGTTCAGGGTTTGGGGTTTATTTTCGGGTTTAGGGTCTGGGGTTTAGGGTTTAGGGTTCTTCAACCCGACAGTCTAATGCGGGGTGATGGCTTGTTCTAGCCACATACACCGCAGTAACCTAAAGACCCTGAACCCCAGACTTACCTAGGTTCGCGCCACGAAGTGGTATATCTCCGTGGAGAAGAAGGTACTCCAGAGCATCCGCGACACGTATGTCAAGATCTCGCGAGAGTCAGACAACAAGTCAAAAGATACCTTTGGCAACGTCCCTGTCAGCGAGAAGGCCTGGCACAGAGCAACCGTCATGTTCTGCAGTGCACTTCTCAATTGACGGTCTCTCAGGGTCTGCGATAGTCAGTTTTCTGCCAGAGATGCTCCGAGTGCTTGCAGGTGAAGGGGATGAAGATGTCTTGGGAATCGATCTGTTCCCGAGTGTGCGTCAGAGACATCTTGGCGAGCACGGACATCACAGAGACGACCTTCTCCAAGCAGACGGTGGATGACGTCATGGGACATGCAATTACCAACATGACGAGCAAACTGCTGAAAATCTATGCCTTCAACAGGCCTCCATCTGAGCGATACCGGGATCGGAGTTGAGAGGGTGGGCAATGCTCCATGCCGCAAGTTATCAAAAATTCTCAGGAGTAGCCCCTTTCTTACTATACCCGCCTGGTGAAGGTATGTCAGTGGTCGTGACCCAGACGTCGCTCAGTTGGAGCCGTACCTCTTGGGGACCAAGGACAGTCGTTCACCAAAGGGTCTATAGTATCTATAGGCCACTCATGGGCCTGAGCAACTGGTACTTCAATACAATTTCCCGACGGTTCCGCAGTAGACTTAGATCAGATATTACACATATATATATATATATATAAGAAAAGGATTTTTTGGTTGTCAGTATGTAAGTACATACATCAAGAGCAGTCCCCCAGCACTACTCCAATTATTACGGCTCCTCTTTTTCGGCTTTTGTTGGTCTGTCGCTGCATGGGTTCGAGCATGTCCCAGCAAAACGTCTCAAAACCGGGTTGCCGTGCAGCTTTCGGTTGCAAGTCCAACAGCCCGAACCCACATACTTAAACCCTAAACCCCAAACCCTAAACCCATGCCGAACTTTGAAATTATTCCATCCAGATGTGTGTTACGCGGCGTCTCTGTTCCAAATATACTACGACTACAACAGGTTCAGTGTCGAGGCTGACACGCATCAGATCACTGTTCTTCTTTAGTGTTTAGAGTGCTCCTAGGTGCTACAGAATGTGTCGCCAAAGCTCTATTCCGGAAAAGTTGAAGCCCTTAAACCCTATAGGCACCTAAACAATTCCGCCAACTGGCGAGCCCCCAAACCCGCAAACTTCAAGCGTTACTACATCCGAACTCTCTCCTGTAGAAGGCAAGAATATGGCTGCATGGCCGAACATCGAACTAGGTCTCAGCCCCCATAGAACCATGAACTAAGCACTCTGAACCCAGAGAACTCAAAGCCCTAATTGGCCTGCAACCCCCAAACACCAAACCGCAAGTCTGAACCCCTCAACCCCGAAACCCTAAACCCCTAAACTCTAAACCCCTAAACCCTAAACCCCGAAACCCCTAAACCCCGAAACCCCTAACCCCTAAACCCCTATATAAACCCTAACCCTAAGCCTTAAACCAAGCCTTGAACTCCTCAACCCCAAATCCCCAACTTCCTCAAGCCCCAAGCTTTGAACTTTAAGTGTCGGACCCTCAGCATGCTCCTAGAACCCCACCCATGCAGCCCATCAGGCCGTTCTCTTGCTCTTGTAGAACCCTTATAGAATTCTGATACATATGTATATATATATATATCCTCTCACTACGAGGTAATCCTTTCTGTTTCAGAACCCGGCCTTCTAAACCCCAACCCTGAACCCTATAGTCTAGGTGCCTCAAGGGCTCCTGTTCACATCTCTACACCCTACTAGACCCAACACAAGCTCTCAGAACAGAGGACACCTCGCCCATGGACTTTCGAAATTTCCCGGAGCTGCACGGCGACATCTCGGCCATCCAGAAGGAGGTGCGCCTGACGAGCATTTTAGGGTTCTAGACTTTTTGTACGAAGGCCCCTGCAAGAGTTATCAGAGGTTCTGGGTCAGGGGAGGCTCTTGACCCTAAACCCTAAAACCCTAAATCCTGAACCCTAAACCGTTTAGGATGACAAGTTGAGACCACTTGTGGGACTCGCGACTTGTCGGCTTTCGCGCCTTTATCTTCAGGGTCTGCGGATTTGTGTTGGGTGTTCGGGGTGTTGTTAGTGCATTTCGGGGCGTTAGCTTTGACTGTGAGGCATCTCAGGTCCAAGCGGTCCGCGCCTTCCGCATAATGCCGTTGTCGACACCCAAAAACGCGAATTTAGCTATTTAGGGCTGTTGTGTTTTATTCTTTGGTTGGTTTCTTTCGGGTTTCGGATGCGGCCGTGGATCTTGAAGTTGTATATACTATGCCCCAAAACCCTAATTCTCATTATTAAGGCCCCTACACTAGGAAGCGACAGAACTGCAGCAACGCGTAGAGAACGGGTGAGCAGAACCTCTAAGCACTCTTTCCATCCCAGGGGGTTTCCGAAAATAGGGGACCGTAATATGGGAGTTTCCGAAAACTAGGGGACCTTATTTTGGGGTCCTTATAATAAGGATCCTACTATTTAGGGTACTATATTAGGGTCCCCTCTTTTCGGAAACTCCCAAATAGGAAGTCTATGCTCGTTTG